AACTGGTAAACTGGTCAATTCAACCGCTCTAACCAGACAAGTCTCGGGAGGTAAAAAAAGCATTGAAAAAAAGTAAAAGAAATACAAAAAAAAATCTACTAAAATATGAAATGCATATAAATAATGATTAAAACAAAACACATTCAAATGAAATTGAAAATTAATGAACAAAAATGCATTTTAACCCATTTAATATTTTCCAATAGCTATTTTTAAAATTTTCTAAAAAAGATGGGAAAATATAAAAGTGAGTATTAACGACCAAAACAATTTTTAATCTTTACTATATTGTAAAGAATATTTAAAAAATGCATTACAAATAAAATTCTTTAATTTTGAGAATTTATATACATTTTTTTGATTTTTTTTAAAAATACCGGTTGATCACCCTAACCGCCAAAAAACGGAACCGGCCACTGGTCGGTTCCGATCTAATCAAGCAATTAGTGGTTAGATCAGGCAATTTTACAAACAATGATCCATCTCTAAGACCATAGGTCACAATTTCTTTTCTCACTACTTTCATCTATGTCATTTTGAGTCTTTCCCTTTTCATTGTAGAACGTTTATATATTTTGTTAAGTATATATATGGTGTGCATATTATATAATATTTTTCCCATGTCCATATAGGGTTAACGCAACTGAGCTGGGATAAGGCATCATCATTGTTATGGCTAATCGGGGCTACCACCAAATGTTTCAAATGAGGCCTAACCATGGTTACCCAATAGCCATGGCCAAGCTGGTCCGGATCCGGTCTGTTGATAGGGGTGGCAGCGGTTCGGGTTGTGTTTGGGTGTGACCGGACCAAAACCTGAATTCATCGGAGTGTGGAACCCAGATCTAGAGCCGACCCAAAAATTAAAGTATCTAAGTATTTAACTATATTTTATATATTGGGATATGAAAAATATTACGGGACCCAAATCCATCCCGATCCAAGGCTGGATAATGCTTGGGTTCAAGAATTAGATCCAAACCTGTGTCCAATTTTCAAACCCATACCTAAACCGAATCTAGCCAACCCCTCGGGTCCGGGTCCATCGCGACCCTTGGACCGTTGACAGCACGATCCGGGACACACAGAACGAGGGAAAACGGTGGAGAGTGATTGATTGGTGAGGGAGAGGGACACGACCTTTGGACCACACCGTGTCGGAAAGCGAGTGTCGATTATCAATCGTATAATGTGGAAAAAGGGTGCGGTCCAAAAATAGGAAAATAAAATACGCGAAAAAGATGCGTTACCCGATCTGTCTCGTAAGCGGCACTTGCTTCAATCAACACTTCGTGACGTTGCCTTCATTGGACGTGTGTTGCAATCAATTGATAGAGAACGAGTCGGCTTAAGACTCTTTTGTAATATTAAATGAGAGAATATCACTTTAAGGGGTAAATTTTTTTCAAAATACTCATTAAGTTTATATTAGTGCTGTCAGATTCGCATTAATTCATATTTTAGGCTTGGATCGAAGCGAAGGTATAGAAATAAAAAAAAATTATATAAAAGTTTTTTTCTTTATTTTTTTTTTTAAATATTTTTATTTTTACTTTTTTACATACTTATAAAAATATCTATTTTATTTCTATTGAATTAAATTTTCTTTTTTTAAATCTTCCCTGAAATAGGCTGAAGCACCAAATTATTTTGTTTTTCTCTACCACACTTGATCGGTTTATTTACCTATTTTATTATTTTGCTTAAATACTAGAGGTGCCCATGTTTTTTAGATTGGAAATCAGTAACTCGAGTCATTTGGCTCAAGCAACTTAAAAGTCGAGTACAATGATTTAAACATCATGCTTGTTTCATATTCCAACTTTACAAGAAAAACAGAGGTGATATTTTAACCGTTTGGCTCAAGCAACTTAAGTCGAGGCAAAAAATTAGCTAGATCCCCATCAAATGATTTTTAAGAAGAACCAAAATAATTCATGCTCCCACATGAGCATTTTCTCTTTGTTGTTTTCTAAGGTAAAATTCATTCTAGGAGTCTTTTTGGGGTCTTAAAATTTGGGGTGAATAAAAATGAATTTTAAACACTATTCGATAAAAATAATATAATGAGATTGAACAAAGATCATCAGTATTTCAGATAGTAAAATCAAAGTGTTAGAAACTTAGGAATGAGGTTGAGGTTATGGTGGTAGCATTATCTGAGTCTCAGCTACTAGTCAAAGTTTTCATTCCCATTGACGCATTTGAAAACCACTAGCGCCACTGATCTACCAAAAAAAAAAGAGTGCTATCAACTTCAAATTCTAGGTTCATTTCTTGGGAAATAACCATTTGATGATTGTTAAGTTGGATCATCAGATTTCACAGGTAAGAAGTATGATAAGTAGCTTTCCCGCATGAGAAAACAAGTATACTTCATGCTCCAATCGGCGCACAAAATAGTTGGATGTGTTTTAGAGTGAAATCACTTTCTCAAATTGATTAACATTTTTTTTGAAGTGATTTGACCATTTTAATTATATATTCAAAAATTAAATCAGAAAAGCAAATAGTTACAAGAGTGGACATTGTCCTGTGCACTTAGATATCCACCATTCTTGATGATAAATCACTCTTGGCTAAATATTCTTCGAAATACTAGTGCAATTCCCTAAGGACTGTACACCACATACCTAGGTAAAAACATATGCTGAATAATTCAATAAAAAGGAATAGATAAAATGATGAGCACATATACTATACTCTCACATGGTAAAGTTTATATTTAGGGAAAATTTCATATAGAACCCAAATTTCTCATATTATTTCATGGTAGACTTCTTTTTATTTTTCTTTCAAACGGCATAAAGAAGCCCCTAAATATTTCACCATACACCCTCATCTCTTATCTCCCTCATTTATTGGCTTTTCATAATAAAAATTAACCTCAAAAAAAATCTTTTCATACCATTTCAACCCAAAAACGTTTTTAATGGTTGGAAAGGAAAAAATAGGGTTAAAAAAGTTTTTGAGTTGAAATGGTGTAAAAAGATTTGTTGGGGTTGGTCAAAAGTCAATAAAAGAAGGAGATAAAAGATGATGGGGTATGGTGAAATCTTTAGAGGTTTTTTTATGCTACTTGAAAGAAAGCCATGAAATAATATGAGGAATTAGGGTTCTATATGAAATTTTCCCTTATATTTACTCTTTCGGTTAGAATACTTTCCTGGGAGGATTTTTTCAATTTGAAATTTCAGAAACTACCTAAGTATTATTAAATGATTAATCTCAAAAGAAAAAAAATCTGAAATTCAACTTTTCTAACATATAGATCTCACCCTCTAAAAATTTGATGGTCTCATTTCATCGTTAGATGTTATTTTTTTCCATATGCATAAGACATTTATTCTATTGAGGTTAATCTATGGGTTGTAAAGGTTATATACCCAAAATTTGAATTCCTAAAATTAGAGTAAAATATCTTTGGGCTAAAATGATATATATAGATAATCTCTTACGTGCATTTTAATAAGCAAAAGGTTTATTTACTTCCCCTACTGGCTAGAAGATATATGCTTCTCCCCATCCAGCCATCTAATTTAGATCAAGTGAGCCACTAACTAATTGATATAGATCCGATGCCTCATAGTATAATTTTGTATATAAATTACATGAAGATGAAATTTGATATGTGTTATCATCTCAATGGGGCACACTTAAAGAAAATATTAGAAATAATTTTTTGATAAAAGATAATGACCAAAATTTTGGTATAAAAATAGTTTGTAAAAAAATTAAAAATAAAATAATATAGAGATGTGACATTGTGATTTGAGCCATCTGCGCTGTCCATTCAAAATGAACGATTGGATAGGGGGAACATATAAGTTTTATGGAGTAAGGGAAGTGCAAAAAGCTTCCCCTTTTAATAAATTTCTATAAATGTAAATCATAGCAGTGTTTGAAAAGTTGGATTCCGGCTTCCACTCGACAAGGCATCGAGCCCAATCCAGACGACCGGTTCGGACAGTCTCAATTGAACCAAGAAAATATTAATAAAAAATCATAGAAAAAATGATGGAGAAATTCTAGGCTTTTTTTTTCCGAGGCAGACCCAAAAATTGTAATAAAATTTTGAAAAATAATTTTAGGACTTTTCAGCTTGGAATCATCTTAGGCTTCCGATCCCATCTCAGTTCAGACCGGCAAATTTTTAAGCACTGAACTAGAATAATCAACCCATAATCAAAGTGATCAATGGCGATGGGGCGAGTGGTCCCAATTTCAATGCCTCCATCATGTCCGTCCATTTCCACCGTCAACTATAAAAAGGAAAAATATGTTGTCCACATCATGTGGACGAGTGGGATGATGCACAAATACCCTTCATATTTCACAAGGCCATATCGAATGGCCAAAATTTTATTTATATTTATTTTTTATAATAAATAAAATATCTATCTCAGTTTTAGGGTCCAAGTTTATTTTTATAGTAGAATTGAATAAAATGATTAAAAAATATTGGATAAAAAATGACCAAAATATCTCAATATTTATTGATCAAATCATTTTTTATTCAATTCCAATTATAAATAATCTTTGTTATATAGACACAGATACATATATCTATTTTTTAATTCAATTCTACTTATGAATACCAACCCTTACATAATATTTTTGTCGAACATAACTTTCTCCTATATGAAACTATTAAATAATGTTTAACTTAAGCAAAATATTTTTAAATTCTGACCTTATTTTCTCACAAATGCTTGGGCGTATTAAACTCAGACAACCTGTCATATTTTATATTTTTTAAAGGATGAAATTTCTATAACACCTAGGCTTTATGAAAACAAAATAAAATCGCACCTCAATTCCTAGTTTAAAATCAATTTCGAACATCAAAAATACAATTTGAAACTCAAAAAATAGTAGAGAGCATTTATTTTTAGATTGAAATGGCTAGATTTGTCATACTATATATTATTTTTAGTCTTAAAACCCTAATTTTTTTTTCACCTCTAGATGCATCTGTACGCAAACTACACCCAAGTAAAAAAGTACCAGGAGAATCAAGAAAAAACAGGCCATATCTCCATAGAAAGCCTATAAAGGACCCCATAGATAGAGATAGAGCGAGAGGAGAAAGAGATGAGGAGAGTCTTGGTGCTTTTACTGCTGTTTCTCTCTTCTCAAACTGAAGCTACAGTCCCTTTCACTGAGCTTAAGAGGCAACACTTCCCACCAGGATTTATATTTGGCGCTGGTTCCTCTGCTTACCAGGCAACTAACTCCCATCAATCCTCCTCTTCATTCCATAATTGGTTTCTCAGTTAGTATTGGGTTAATGAATATTGAGTTGATGAATTGGAGTTATTCTCTCTTTATTGGGTTTGATGAATTGAAGTTTCTCTCTCCCCTCCCTCTCTCTCTCTCTCTCTCACAAATTTTTTTTGCAGGTTGAAGGTGCATTTGCAGAGGATGGGAGAAAACCCAGTATCTGGGACACTTTTGTGCATACTGGTTCGTTTTGTTTTCTGTTTTTGGTTTATTTATTTCATTTTATTTTTTAAAAAAGTGGGTCTGAGTTTTAGAGAATTTCAGATAAATGGAGTTTTTTCCTTGAAGGTAGAAGAAATTCTAGGCAGGAAAATTCAGCTTGAGAATTAAGTTGAGTTTCGGCATTTGCTTTAAACAAATTTGGTCCAATAAATGCTTTTAAAATTTCGAGTTCGAAACCATGTTTTACTGCTATTGTATTTAATCTAAACATATAGTGGTGTGGTGTAAATAACAGGGCGTATGCCTGGTCAAGTCACAGGGGATGTCGCCTCTGATCAATATCACAAATACAAGGTAAGCAACCCCAAGTAAAAGAGGAATATAAAACACCATTTAAAAAAAAGAAAAAAAAAAAAGATGAGTAACTCCAAAGCTCTCTAACTGTGAAAGCATTTCCCAAAAAAAGAATTTATTAAAAAAATATAAAGGGACTGATTTGGAATTTGTTGATTTGCAGGAAGATGTGAAGCTTATGCATGAGATGGGTTTGGATGCTTATAGATTTTCCATATCCTGGTCTCGGCTTATTCCTGGTAGTAATTCCTATTAATGATGATAATAATAAGAAAATAGTTTATATAAAGATGCGGCTCTAAACAATCAAATTTAAGCTCGCCTAAAAACTTCATTAGAAGAGATTGTTTCAATAATACTAAATCCTCAAATTGATCATCTCAACTTTATGTACATGAAAAAAAAAAAAGATTCGAAGTATTGAAAATAGTGTATCTTGTAATGTATTTTTCGATCTTCAATTTTCAAAAGTTTTAAGTGTTCATAGATATGCCCGATCTACAATATTTTTGAGGCTTTAAATTTTATAATTAAAGATGTCTAATATTGAAACAAACATCTTTAGACAATATTTAAAGGTGCACTTTAAGTTGATGGTTTAGAGCTTCGGCCCTATACAAACCACCCCCTAATAATAAATTAGATGGTTATATTTTCCTAATTGAAATTGGCTAAACTTGCATTTGGGAAAATCTTTGATGGGCGAGTGTGGCTAGCTATTGGCCAGCTCGCCTAACCCAACCTTGAAAACCTAGGGCTTGGGCCTTGGAATGTGGTCCGGTGAGAGCCTGGTCACGGGCATGGCCTAGGTTAGGGCCCCTCCAACCCTATAAGGACCTGAGCTGGGCTTAGGCCAGGGCTAGCCTTGGCCAGACCCAGCCCGTTACCAGCACCATGGCCATGTGTTGTTTACCCAGGGTAACCCATTTTCACCATTCTCTTGGCTCATTTGTATTGTAGGAGAGTTATATCACTTAAAAAGTCCATCAAGGTGATTAATTCTACTAATTTATTATACAGTGGTTATTTTTATCACTCGTTCCTCCTTGACAATTTTATTAAAAATACCTAAAATGCTAGCATTATAAATTTGAAATGCCAAAAGCAAGGGAGTTTTGTTTGTCCAAGTAGAGTTTCATACATATCTCTACTTTTTTTAGGTTCCAAAATCAAATTATATATATATTTTTTGTATCGGGTTTGGAGCCTGAAAAACTTACTTTTGTCACTTGGCTTGACTTAAGTTGCCCAAGCTAAAAGACGGAATGATCCCCTCTTGTTCGGCTTTTGAAATACATAGCATTTGTTTTTTTTTTTCATTAAAGGCTAAAAGCGTCTTTTTTGGATAAGTAATATAAAATAAGTAGGGGCATTTTTGGTAATTCAGCTCATTCATATTACAATCTAAATTATCAAAATGCCCATACTTGTTCAAAATTTTAAAGGCATATTATTAAAGTAATTATTTTATTGATAAATTGGTTGAAATATTTAACGTTATACTTATGTCTCTTTATTTAATTTCAAAACACTATGACGTGTCAAAAAAGTTGTAAATGGGTAAATGTTGAATAATTAATCTCTTATGGTATTTAGATAAGTTCCCTTATTATTATTAAGAAAAAGTTTATATAGAGCCGAGGCTTTAAACAATCAAATTTGAACCTACCTCAAAAATTTCACTAGAAGAGGTTGTTTTGATGTTCAAATATCTTCGAATTGATCATCTCTACATCAAGAAGCATGGACATGAGAAAAAAATGGATTTCAAGGTTTGAAAATAGTGTATTTTGTAACACATTTTTTGACCGTCAATTTTTAAGATTTTCAAGTTTTCATAGATCTATCAATCGACAATATTTTTAAAGGTTTAAATTTTATAAATAAATATAAAAATATATTTTAAGACTATTACAAAGATTTCCAATATTAAAACCTCATTTTTCCATACTATTTGAAGGTAGGCTCTAATTTGATTGTTTAGAGCCTAGGCTCTACACAAAAGGCCACCCTATTATTATTTGTTTTTGAATGTTGTTATTATTATGTTGGAAAAAGCTTATATAGAGCCCAGGCTCTAAACAATCAAATTAGAGACCACCTCAAAAATTTCATTAGAAGAGGTTGTTGTGATGCCCAAATCTCAAATTGACCATCTCGACATCAAGATGCATGAACATGAAAAAAAAATGGATTTCAAGTTTTGGAAATAGTGCATCTTGTAACGCTTTTGAACCATCAAGTTTCAAGATTTTCAAGTTTTCGTAGATCTGCTTGATCTATACTATTTGTTTTAATTTTTTTAATTAAAGACAAAAATATATTTTAAGGCTATCACAAAGATTTTCAGTATTTAAACCATATTTCTTAACACTATTTGAGGGTAGGCTTTATTTTGATTGTTTAGACTTTAGAGCCTCAGCTCTATGCAAACTGCAAATGTTTAATTCGTTTCTTGTTTTTACTTTAAAATTTTCACTGCAAATGTTTAATTCGTTTCTTGTTTTTACTTTAAAATTTTCATGATTTTGTATGGAAAAAAAGAAATCCCATCCAATAAAATGTTGGTGTTGGAATTGCAGATGGAAGAGGAAGCGTTAACCCCAAGGGTTTGGAGTATTACAATAATCTCATCAATGAATTGCTCAGCCATGGTGATACTCTCTCACTTTCCTTTCTCTCTTTATCTTCATGCAAATCTCAACAAGGATCCAATTTGAGCAACCTCTTGACAAATCTCAATCGTCCATCAAGATATTGGTCAGCTCTACCGCAATACTTAGATTGACAGAGAACCGTTATAATATAAAGCCCATGAGCTTATACTGTAGCATAGGTCTATTGGATCTAGAGGGGTTTGTGGAAACCTTAAATTTCGCACATATTCACTTTTTCGAGGCAGTGAAAAAAAAAGGGTGTGGTTTGTATAGGGCTGCAACTTTAAACAATCAAATTAAGGCGCACCTCTAAATTTTATCATAAGATGTACTTTTGGTGCCAAAACTTCTTAAAAAAAAGGAAAAAAATTTGCAGCAAAAACAAAAAAAAAAGGAGAGTAGGAAATGACTCTATGCTCTCAACGTAGGCTGTCCATTTGATAAATGGTGAATAAAGGCATTCAAGAACTCGGATCTGCTTTTTTCAAGTTATTATTTTCTAAAAAAGGTGCAAATTTTTAGTTTTAATACATCCCTCTATACTTTTATTGTAAAAAAATATATATACATATTTCTCCCTATTCAACCGATCATTTTAAATGGACAGCTGAGATGGTCCCAATCACAATGTCACATCTCTAAATTATTTTATTTTGGATTTTTTTCTACAAAAAATTTTGACACCAAATTTTGGCATCCATTCTTCTCTAAAACTTGCACCTGTCGAAATATAAAAATAATATTACTAAAAAAATAAAATGATCAAAATGCCTTTGAAAGATTTAAGGGTATTTGATCATTGTAGTTTATCAAAAAATATTTTTTAAGTGTACCCTATTGAGATGATTATTGAGACGATGGCAGCTATCAAATTTCATATTTATATAATGTGTAGAGAAATATTAAAAATAAAATATTTTTGACGGTCAATCAATTGATCAAAATATCACATTACAAATGGAATATATTTAAGAGTGCATATAATGTGCTCCTGCCACTCCTGCGGGAACATTCTGGGTATCTACTTCCTTGGTCAAAACACAGTTAGTTTTTTCGACTAAAACTTTGGAAACCATACAAAAGTTTCTAGATGATTATTTTTAAGAGAAATATTTGAATTTTGAGTTTTGTGACAGTTAAATCTAGCCCTTTAAAAATATGACCGTCTCTATTTAATCTTGAGGCATTAGTTTTTTTTATTACATTGGGAGTTTGTTTCTGAAATTTTTTTCACTAAGATTATTCAATAGGTCGTAAAGATTGCATCCCCAAAATTTGAGATCTAACTAGTATTCCTAGCATGTATTTTGCCCGAGAGAGGAAATAAATAGTATACTCCCTTAGGAGAACGAAGTCTTTTTTCTATATTTAATGTAATTGTATTGGGTAGTGACCAAAGAAATGCCTCAACAAGAAGCGGCACTCAAGTGACAATTGACATCCACTAAAATAGGGTCAAATCAATATAATATAATAAGGAAAAAGTTTATATAGAGCGGCACTCAAGTGACAAATGACTAGTAAAATAGGTTCAAATCAATATAATAAGGAAAAGTTTATATAGAGTCGAGGCTCTAAACAATCAAATTAGAACCTACCTCAAATATTTCACTAGAAGAAGTTATTTTGATGCCCAAATATCCTCAAGTTGATCATCTCGACATCCAAATGCATGGACATGAGAAAAAAATGGATTTCAAGTTTCGAAAATAATGCATCTTGTAACGCATGTTTGGATCGTTAATTTTCAAGTTTTCATAGATCTGCTCGATTTGCACTATTTTTGAAACTTTAAATTTTATAATTAAAGATGAAAATATATTTTAAGGCTATCACAAAGATTTTCAGTATTGAAACCATATTTCGAAGATGCGCTTTACTTTGATTGTCTATACAACCTGCACCATATAATTATTCCTATCCATATTTTTGTAGAATTTTGTTAGATCCTCTAATGACAATGGCATCCGCTAGAGTAGGTTCAAATCCATATGGTAACCTAAGCCTATCACAAAGATTTTCAGTATTGAAACCATATTTCGAAGATGCGCTTTACTTTGATTGTCTATACAACCTGCACCATATAATTATTCCTATCCATATTTTTGTAGAATTTTGTTAGATCCTCTAATGACAATGGCATCCGCTAGAGTAGGTTCAAATCCATATGGTAACCTAAGCCTCCTTTTATGGAGTTTTGTTTTATTTTTATGTGATAGTATGCATCTACTCCCTCGGTCACGGTACGTACTTAGGAAGTTTTTCGCAATCTAAAATTTGGGGAATTATCTAATAATTCTATATAATTGTTTTAAAAAATTCAAATTTGAGTTTTCTATTGCTTAGATCTCACCCTCTAAAAAATTCAAATTTTAGTCTTTTAACACTTAGATTTCACCCACTAAAAATTGGACGGCCTCTATTCAATCGTTAGGATACAAGGTACAATTAAAGAGTTTTTATTATTATTGAGGTTAATCTATGAGGTTGAAGTGCTTAGATCTCCAAAATGGTCCTAAAATTAATCCTAGATGGGTTTCACCGAAGGCATAAATGGACCATATAATAACTTTGGGCTTTCTTATTGGCCTTGGGTCCGATACTAATAACTAATGTGAAAACATTTCCCGGCTTTGGCAGGAGCATGGTGTTCATTTGCTCCCATGGTAAAAATCTAATTTTGGGAGATGCTTGCTCAATTTTTTATGAATTCAATTTTTTTTTAGGAAGTAAAAATATTTCAGAACAAGTAGTCGATGCATAATATTGTTTTTAGGGAAGTGCTTTCCGAGGTACAATTTTCATCTTAAATTCCACCTTTACTTATTCAAATGTCAATATTAGTGATTTAAAAAAAATAAGTGATTTGGTTTGCCGCCCCAAGTCCTGGTTAGAATCGGTTGGTTCGGCCCTTCATATGTCAAAATCTTTGGAAATTTCTTCCATTTAGAGAAAAATTATGTTTTTATTTGTTAGTTCTTAAATCATCAAGGAAAAAACTATGAAAAATGGCTCTCCACAAATCTTCTTCTTTTTTGTGCTTTAATTTTTATTGTATTTCTATTGCCAATTTGCCCTAATGCAGATCGGAAACGGTGATCAGGCTAAAGCGGATCCACCCCACTGGTTCGTGTTTAAAACACTGGTCAAAACAAAAATTTGGTTATGACATGGATGTTGGAACCAATTCATGCATTGAAAACACTTCCGTTTTTTTTCTAAATTAAATTGTTTACATTCCCTCCCACATATTGGTTCAATATAGACCAAATTAAGGGGAGGGATTTGGTATTAGGTCTAAATTCCATGTAAACTTAAGCATCATCATCATCATTTTGAGCGTTATCCCAACTATTTGGGATCGTATGAACCTATAACGATATTTGGCAGTTTAAGGGCCTAACTTTATGTGTTTCTATCACCCAAAGGTTTTGGGTCCTATTGGTTAGGTACCTAATTTGGTATCAGAGCAACTATGACCTAGGTCCAAGGCGACCGGTGGAAAAGGCTACCTATAAAAATGACTACTCGAATAAATAAGTATTAGAATGAAAGCTGCCATAGAGAGTGAGAGCCACCTTAGAGTGAGACCTAACCTCAGCCGAGGGGCGTGTATGTAAAGATCCTCGGTGGTTTAAAGGCCTAACTTTCCGCTTTTTTATCACCCAATGGTTTTGGGGAGTATTGGTTAGGTATCTAACATTCATACCAAAATTCTATAGACTATTTTTAAACTTCTCTATCGATTTGCCATGTCGACTAGAAATTTGGGTGAACTTGAGAAAAATGGCCATAATGAATTGAGTCTCCCTAGTTTGGTTTGGTATGTCAATAATCATTTTAAAAAGTATCAAGTTTTTTAACAACAAATCATACACAATTGTAACGGTGAGTACTGCAAAACATTTGACCTGTAGTGTATTGGTCCGTAATGTTAAACATTTACTTGTTGGGACTTCGTCTTTGTTACAAGAAAGAACAATCACTTCTAGTTATCGGATGTAAAATCGTGTGATTAAGAATGTCTTATTTCTATGCACAAAATTTTAAAATATTTTATCAAACTTCAAATACTGTTCATGTTCCATTCACAGACTAGTGCTACATCTGATGGAAAGGGATGATTGAAATTAATATATTTTCACCAATCCAAAATAAAGAGAGAATCAAGGGAGGAAATAAATCTATTGTAAATTCAAAAAATTATTGCAGATTGTAAAATTAGAATATGCCCTGCCATATAAAGCACACCACAATGGCATTTATAATGTTTAAAATTTTTGGAGTATGAGATCCTAAGTTCACTTGGGGTTGTAAACGGGTATGGTGGGGGCCGACTGACCTGGAGCTGACCTGAATGGGTCCATGTTGGACATGTACACAGGTTGGGTCCAAGTCATTGGACCTGAACATGAGCCACTGGGTAGGGTCAGGTCTTGGTCTAAATAAAAAAAGTCTAGATCTTTTTTATTATATATTTTAATACATGAAAATATTTGTTATAGATATTGTATATATAAATATATCTGGCCGAGCCACCCAAACCAGACCGACCTAAGCCTGGACCCAAGTTGTGTTGTTTGGGTCGACAGGACAACTCAACCCAATTGCCTTATGTAACTCTACTATTAGGATGTTGTATTATAGGAAACAATCGCTTGATAGCATATAAGTGTGATTAGTTTCTGCCATGATAGTTGCTTAACAAAGTGTGGAGGAAAACTAACAAACAAACTAAACTTTCAGAAAAGATTTGCCCCAAAATTTTTCATTTAAAAAAAGAACTAGAAAACCAAAATTATCAAGAACAATGACAAAAGCTTATGTTAAATTATTTCTTAAAAGACAAGGATATTTTAAACATAATGTGAACTTAAACCATGTTCTAAGTGTAAGGAACATGAACCTCACTTGTAGAGTAGAAATAAGGTTGCAGTCTACACCATCCATTTTAGTTGGCAAATGTAGATTTGACAATATCTCAAAAAACGTGTTAGATTTTCGCATTATCTAAGAAAATGTGCCAAACTTACATCATCTAATTAAAATGGATGGTATAAAACACTACAATAAGGTTACCGCCTTATAAAATCCACACCCTTAAGCATAGCGTGCAAATGCATAAAGGGAATTGAGATTAGAATAGTAAAATTTGAGCACACATAATTACATTAATGGGACATGAACATATGAAAATAATTAGCATAATAACTTGAGTTCAATTGAACGTACCAAAGGACATGTCATGTTTCTTATGAAAACAATATAAATCTCATAAATAGCAAATAGGTAAGTGTTTATAAAAAGTATTCATTTATCATTAAAAGAATAATCTTTAAGTTAAATATTCAATTAGTAATGTTAACTATCTATAGCATGAAAAAAAAAAGCAAAGGAATTTATATTGTTTATTGTAGATGTAAAGTTACCTTTGAGAATTTAAGAGCTAAGCAAAATCGTGATCATCTTCACATAATTAGGAATATCTGAGTTTCATGAAAGATATAAATTATAACTTATATTAATTTCTAAAGCTAGAACACATTATGGTAAAAAAACGTGAGTATTTCAAACTCTGGTCCCATATGTGACACTACAAGGTGCGGAATGATATATGAAAAGCACAAAACTCTACCACATATCCTTTTTTTTTTTTTTTAATATATATATATATACCAATTGTTTGTGCAGTTACAAGAGGTTTTATTCCTTTTCTAGATGCTAATTTTTAATGCTCTGAAATCATAAAGGAATTGAAGCTCATGTTACCCTATTTCACTTTGATCTACCCCAATCCCTCGAGGATGAGTACAATGGATGGTTGAGCCCAAAGATAATGTAAGCCTCCTATTTCCTTTAGCCATCTTGTTAATCTCTCTCAAGTTCTTTCTTATTCTACTGATCTCTTACTAGATGGAAAGTATACAATAGGAGCCGTTTATCTTTGGTATAAAAAGTCATTATCCTCTCAGCTGTCAGATGTGAAATTTGACGGCTGGGGGTGTGCCATTGACCTGTGCTCACAAACTTTATGCGGAGAAATGACGTACCCAAGCCTTTCAGTTTTATACCTGAAAGCTTGGGATGTTTGTGACCTTTATGAAAGGTAAAGATCTCATTATATACAAATTCATTGCTACAAGTTAGCCACAATTTTAGTGTATGTATTCCATCATCAATGCCAACTCCTCCCATTCTTTTGTTTATTTAGTCTTTTTTCTTGCTATGTGTTGCAGTGAAGATTTCACTGCATATGCAGAGGTTTGTTTTAGAGAATTTGGAGATAGGGTGAGTTCCTGGAGCACCGTCAATGAACCCAATATCTTACCGTTAATGAGTTATGATGTTGGACTCTTTCCACCATGTCGTTGTTCATATTCTTGGGTAGTCCATTGTTCTGAGGGAAATTCATCAGTTGAACCATACGTCGTTGCACATAACTTCTTACTGGCACATGCAGCAGTTGTTCGTCTATATCGAGAAAAATACCAGGTTATTATATTCTTTGTCTTTCCTTTTGCCTTTATTTTTCCATTAGGCTAGCAGGCAGTTTGTACAGGAGCCCCATTCATTGTCTTAATCTCGGAAAGTGTGTACATTAGGCCAAAGAATATAAACTCTTTGGTTTGTACTTCAGTGGGTATGAGTCAAGATTTCCTGCCATGATACCTAATTCTATAGTTAAAAGGAAAGTATATGATGTGCTACTCATTTATATTTCATTTCTCTGCTGTCAATTTTCATGTATGTTACCAAGTCTGGTGATCATTCCTTTTCCAAGTATTTCTTTGAATGATGTGCCTTCCATTTCTATTTGCATTTTTTGTTTTTAACTCCATTTATCTTGATAAGGCAAACTGCTATGTCAATTTGAAAATATATTAAGCTTTTCAGTTTTCATTTTTACCTTCTCTCATTTTTCTTTTATAGTTGTATGCTTATGGATGTATGTTGGTATGAGTTTATGTATGTGTGCCTATATAAGAATGTATCTATGTATGTATGTATTTTCTTTTGGGTAGCTCAGATGCATGTACTTTATTTATATATATATNTATATATATATATATATATATATATATTATATTAGTATGTAGTTNTTACTGTCGTACTCTTAGTTGTTCGTGTCTAACTCTTAACG